TATATATATTTGATTATTAATATCAACACATAAATAATATATTGACATTATTTTTATTATTTTCTTTGTATATTTCAGATAATTTTGTAAAAATAAATATAAATCATCTGTTAAATGTAAAATAAAACATTTGAAATCTGTTAAATCTGTAAAATAAAACATTTAAAATGGTTTGAACATTTGGTTAAAAAATTGAAATATATAAAAATATTTATAACAATGTCCAAAATGTTATCAATTTAATACACCTAAGTACTCAATGAAGACTAAACTTAGTTGAAAACAAAAAAAATTGCATCTAAAATAGTACAGTAGAAGCCATTTTTCAGGTTAAGCCTTAATCCTCTCCTTCTCCCCCATGGGGAAATTTCAAAAAATGCCTTCTTAGTGTATGTTTTCATGGCATACCCTAACTGTAAGGCAACGGGAAACCAACTCAGCTATACCTCCCTTGTTAACGGAAAGCAGAAAACCTATTTATCATACTGGCAAATATGGGACTCACCTCCAAGAGAAAGGTGTCATGCCCGGCAGAGGAAGTTATGGGGCCTCCCAGATCATCACCACGCAAAACCCCCATAGGAAGACCCCCGTAGGAAGAATTCGAATAGGAACATGGAATGTAAGAACCATGCTTTGACCAGGTAAGTTGGAAAATGTCAAGAGAGAAATGAAGAGGCAGAATTTGGATATTCTTGGGCTTAGTGAAGTCAGATGGGAAGATAGCAGTGATTTTTTTAGCGATGAATTCAGGGTTATTTATTCTTGTGGAACTAAAGGAAAGAATGGTGTAGCATTTATTTTAAGTGAGAAGGTAAAAAACTCAGTTGAAAGAATTGAATGCAGAGGTGACAGAATTTTAATGATTAAAATAAAAAGCGATCCCATGGATATGATGATATTTCAAGTATACATGCCTACTGGAGACTATGACGATGAAGAAGTAGAAGAAATTTATGACCAAATTGAAGATATAATAGAAAATGATAAAACTAAGAAATGCCTAATTGTTATGGGAGACTGGAATGCATCTGTAGGAG